AGGCCCATATAGACATAGTGGATCGTCTCTCAGACGTGACTTTCCGGGTAAAATGTGGTCGGCGAGGTAAGCCAAAAGTGGCGCATGCCAACAGGCTTTGGCGTTATCATTGTCCAGGACATTTCAGTTGGCACGAAGTGGACAATAGAACCAATGACGCTGCTGAAGACGTGCCACCTGAAGAAGCCACCGTCGAAGAAGAAACTCTACTCAGTTTTGAGAAGGGAAACGGTGAAGCTTTTGGTGAAGTTTCTACCACTGATGTGACTGTTACCGATGATAGGACATTTCCTGATGAAGTAGATGAACCTCACGTGAAGCAGAAGCCAACGAGACGGAGACCAGTAGGAAAAAGATACGTCCCGTAAAATTAAGAGACTTTGTTGAATTGTAATTTTGTGTTTGTAATTCTGTACAGTTAATTAAGTTATTGTTAATTGTTATTGGTCTATTGTATGTGGTTATTGTTTGGAACAAACAATATTAAGGAGGGGCAGTGTTGCGTCATCGAGATCACGTGACTATTCTCACGCCCTCTACTTTCTAGAACTATCCTGTACTTTGGCGAATGCTCTAGCATTTACTGGGTATAGGGTAGTCTGGTATATAAAAGAGGGTGACAACGTGACGGGAATGTAATGTGTGTGTAGATAGTGAGTAATTGAACTGCAGTCAGAAGTATTGTAGACGTTCGTTGATATAGCGTTTGTTTTAGCGTGATTGTTGAAAATAAGTGTATCGTAAAGTTGTATTCGGAAAGAATAAACCAGTTTTATTAAGTAAGGATTTGTGTCGCTAAAGTTTCGTCAGAACGAAGTTACGGAAAGTTAATTAACAAACGGAGATGTAACAGTTGCAACTACTGATGATAATATTAATGCACAGCTGCTGTTTGTAACACTTCTACTACTGCTGCTGTTACTATTGCTCCTGCTGTTTCTACTGTAGGTGCTAATAGTGCTTCTGCTGCATCTACTATTAATATACTATTATTGCTGCTGTTTTTCTTGCTGATATTACTGCTTTTGTTGTCAGTTACTTGCTTTAATTTTGTTTCTTTTTATTACAGATAAGACAACACCACGTCTGCTGTGTCAACAACATGTCTTTATGTAGTGTTACATATCTGGTCGTTTGTTTATTTCCGGTATAAATTCTTCCCAAAGAACTTCAGTGATACAAGCCCTTTCTTAAATAAAACTAGTTTATTCTTTCTCAATACAACTTTGCAAAACACCGAATTTCCACAGTCACTTTAACTTAAAACACACGCTATAATTCACAACGATTCATGCACTTTGCTTACGGTCACTACCGCTCGCTTGACTCGATTATCTGTCTCTATATCTCTCTATCTGCAATTATTATCTCCGCTTTATTTGCCGGGCTTATATTCTAAAATAGAGGGCGCCTAGAAAAGACTAGAGTTGCCAGGAACAGTCATGATGCTTCTAGAAACTCCAGCGCGCATGCTTCCAGGGTCACGTGACTTCCGCTGTCGTAATAGTAGTTTGTGGTAGCAAAATTAGTGGTTGTAGAAAATTAGGTTCGAAAGGAATAATCTATGCTGTTTGAGGCTTCACAGAAGTGTGGAGATGAGCTTCACCAAACGACAAGTGCTACAAAGCTTACACTCTATCAAGAAACGCAGAACAAGCTCATCACAGTACCGCTGGATTTGACAAACATAATTCCTCAACTCCAAGACTAAGGTCTGAAATCAAACCATTCGATTATCATACACACTGTCGAGTATGTTCTAAGAAATTGAACTTTGACACCCAGGATGCAGTAACAG